CTGATCTTGTATTAAACAATCCAATCTGCCTAAAGATTTGGTAAATGTTGCTAGCTGCATTTGTATCCTCTCAGGTGCAGTGCCCAAACTGAATTCTATTAAACTATATCACAGTTTTGGTTAGGGATGTAATAGTGTAGTTAATTAACCGATTATCCAATAAGTGAAAGCTTATAGGTTAATATTATAGACTACACACATTTCCCTCCCACCCTCCCCCGTACAGGGACTGCAGGCAGCCAATCTGCGAGGGGAGCTAGTTTTTAAACTGGCTCTCCTCATGGACCTGCTCCCACCTTGCACCCCATGTGCAGTGGCAGTGGACTCCTTGGGAGCAGGGCCAGAGTGCACTGGCCGCCAGACCCACCCCCGGGGACTATAGAATAGTTGACTAACGAATAAGAATTCAGGAGGTTACTCAACTATTCAATTAACCGATATTTAATATCCCTAGTTTTGATTAGTGCTGAGAGTTTGTCGCGTTGGTAATAATGCCCTGTGGAGGGAGCATTTTCAGTAGGAGCAGCAACGTTTTATTTTCATCAGATCTGACTGAGCTCCATAAAGCACTCACATTTCAGAGGTCTCAATACGTGTTAACCCTTTGCCTGGCATACAGCTGTACTCACTGCTGGCCAGAATATCTCTACATGTGAAAATCCTCACACACTAGGGATCTGCCCTTGCTATGGGTAGTAACAGGATTTTATTGGCCCAGTGAAATAAAGCATTTACATTAGCAACGGGCAGGCATTAAAAAAAGAAAAACCGAAGACTTTAAAAATATTCTGGAGAGAGTGCAGTTTTTCTGGGTTTTTTTTAAATATGATTTTCATGCTCCTTGAAGGTGATGCATTGATGGTCCTAGAGCATGGAAAGATTGCATCCTCTGATCAGGATGAGCACGTTTTCTTCTAATATTCCTCTGTGTCTGCCAAAATCCCTTACTTGTGTAACCCTTCTGTTAGGTAGCTGGGTTCATTATCTAGGGGTTCCTTTTCATCCATCTCACACAGAACTGGCTTGAGTCCCCAACCAGTAGCCTGGAAAATTCACACACCTCTGGGTAACTCTGAAAGGCAATGCCTCCCCACTTGCAAGCACAGACTCTGAGCATAGAAAAGAAACTTGTCCTTTGCCTCTCAGGCTCACCAGTCCAACAATGTAAAGGTCCCATTCACATACCCAAACTTTCTCCATACTCCACTTCAAATGCCCCACTTACAGCTCTATCCAGTCAATGCAGACCCAGACACATCACCCTGATGATTTCGCTCATTGAACCCGAGACAATGCCACCTTTATGCTGCTCCTCTGGTGTGCTTGCTTCTGCCAGCTGTCCTGCTGGCCACCTGCTCCTGCCAGCTGCCCCACTTGCTCCTGCTCCTACTGGCTGCCTGCCAGTCACTGCTGCCCTACCAGCCCTCTGCTGGTTGCTCCCATCAGCTTCCCTGCTGGCCACCTGCTGTTTCTCCTACCAGCCCCTCACAGGTCACTCCCACCAGTTGCAATGGGTCTGGCTCCAGGTCAAACTAGTGAGTTCAGCTCTTAGCCACCACCTAGGCTGTCCAAAAGGTCTATCCTTAGAACGGGGGGGGGAGAAGGGGGGGAAAGGGAGGAGGAGACAGGTTGAACCAGTCTTACAGCTCACTCCTGAAGGTCATATAGCTGGCTGGCTCAAGCCCCTTCCCCCCACCTCAGTCCACTTGAATCTGGAAGGGGGAGCTTTGTCCTTCTGTGACTCTTTACAATGACTTTGTCCTTTTGTGACTCTTTACAATGACAGTGTCTCTCTTGCAAGCACTGATGGTCATATTTTGCAATTTCTACATTTAGGGTTAACATGGTTTGTGACCCTAGTACAGTAAAATTAGTTATAATACACAACATTCCATTCCGACAAATGACCATCCATCAGCCGATAGCACTGGCTAAACTGGATTTTCATAACCATACCCCAGATTCCTTCCCCATTCCAACATGAGCTGTATTTACATATCAACAGTTAATTATCTTGTAGGGCTAAACAACTGAGTAAGCATAATCACACCCCGGGCTGCCCTCCTCCTTCGGCTGGCTGCATTGAAAGCAGTGATTCAGACCCTGCTTCTGTCTCCCCCCACAAGCCAAGAATTTGCCGTCCCAGCAAAATACATTTCTGATTATACCATCTACACAAGTTCTCCTCAAAGAGCCTAAGGAACCCCCCATGGCTTCCACAAGCCTGTGAGCTAAATGTATCACATCCTCACTAACCATTTCTGGTGCATTGTAAGTTAGCCTGTTTACTGGTTTTATAATCATATCACTCCTATTGAGAGCGGGAGTAGCAGGATCTGGGGAGACTTCTGGGGGTAGGACTGACAAGGGTTTACTTGAAGGCACCTTCTCTATAGACACAGGCCTCTGCACCTCTTGCTGAGATGCTGGGATGTTCAGGGCACCAGGGCAGCTTCCCCTGGAACTTTCCCTCTGTTCACTGACATAGGTGTGTCTTCAGAGAGCTGTTAATCTTCCAGGAGGTCTGGAGATGTAGCTGGGACAAGTTCATCATCCCAGGTTGGTCTTCTTGTGGACAGTGGGTTGCCTTCCACAGGCCTAAATACTTCAGCAATAGGATTTAAAGCCAAAGAAGCAGCGCTCTCCCCATGTCTAACTGATGGAGTTCGGAATCTGGACTGCATCCTAGTATACTCCATGGGATCATCTTCCTCTTTAGAGTCACTCTCAAAGGTGCTGGGTAACGGCAGATTAGCTTCACAAGGCCCATCACACAAGTTGGGTGGTGGATTTGGCTGGACACCTCCTGTTTTCCGGGGTCCCATGTCATGTTCCATTTCATAAGAGGCACCTACTAATTCTCTCACAGGCAGCAGAAGGTTCTGATGCACGGACCCAGTTTTGGGTTTAATCTTGTAGACCGGCAGATCTCTAAGTTTTTCCACCACCAGATAAGGCATTGCCTTCCATCTGTCAGCAATCTTGTGCTTGCCAGCCACACCCAAATGTCATAGCAGTACTCTGTCCCCCGGATGGAGCTCCTGCAGCCGTACTAGCGCATCATATCGGTGTTTGTTTTAGTCGGCATTTTTCCGGGCAGCAGCTGTAGCCAAGCGATAGGAATTCTACAGCTTTTCTCTTAGTCGGGAGACATATTGCAGGTGTGTCTCATAGCTCTCGCCATCCCGATACTCCAAAGCATAGGTCTATAGGTAGTATCGGCTCTCGTCCAAACATCATGACGTATGGAGTGACTCCTATTGCATCATTCCTTGTATCATTGTAGGCATGAACCAAAAATGCAACATGCTGGCTTCAGGATGTCTTCTGGTCTGGGTGTAAAGTCCCCAGCATATTCAATAGGGTCCGATTGAATTGCTTGGGCTGAGGGTCACTTTGTAAGTGGTAAGGTGTGGTTGTTCTGGACTTCTTAATTCTGGACAACTGTAGCACCTCCTTCAAGAGATGACTCTCAAAGTCCCACCGCTGGTCAGAGTGTATTTGAGTTAGGAGACCATATATTGAAAAATAACTCTCCCACAAAACTCAAGCCACGGTGGTGGCCCACTGGTCACGTGTGGGATATTCCTGCTCATATCAGGCATAATGGTCAGTCACTACTAAAATATTCCCCATATTCTTCCTGTCCACTTCTAAAGACAAGAAATTGATGCATACCAACTCCAAAGGCCTGCTGGTGGTGATATTCTCCAGATAGGTGGCTCTGTAGGCAGAATTTTCCTCTGAACACATCGGGCACAGGTCTCACATTTTTTTTTTGTACATCTTCAGCCATCCCGGGGCCAGTAGAACCTACTACAGGTGAGTTCAAGGGTTTTCTCTGTTCCCAAATGCCTACAATCATCATGCAGGGCTCTCATGACCAGGGCTCTGTACTTTTTTGGTAGCACTAGTTGTGTTCGTCGATTTTGCAAAGGATTTACAGTGATCCGGTGCAGCACCCCACATATCTGTTCCAGTTTGCACCATTCTCTCAACAGTAGCTTACCCTCAAGAGTGGATGGGGCAACTGTGCTAGGGCTTTGCCCCTCTCTTTTTGCAAGTAGTGTGTTGCAAATGTCAGTATCTTGCAGCTGTGCTCTCTGCATCTCTTAGGGTAACGCTGTAGTCCAGTCTGTATGCCAATACATGTCTGGTGTCTCTGCTACTGACCATACCAGCTGTGGTGGAATATCACTGAGGTGGACTTCTAGAACTGGGAAATGGACTAAGGCTACCAAATTCACATAATCTAACTTCTAGTTTCATTTGGCAACCTAACAGTTTTCAGTGACAACTTACCTGTGTTAGATTTATTTTGTACTTGTGATTATAGGCCCTCTGTAGGACATCCTCCAAATGATTTCAGGTTTTATTTGCTCCCTGTAGAAATAAGGTGCCATTAAAATATATAGTATAACTAGACATGAGAAGGTTGTAGGATACAATCCTTATTGAGTTCAAGACATATATGAAGACCTAATGCACAAGTTGCTTTCAATCTAAATCTGATGCAGGTAGAACAGTTTAGACTGACAATATACTGACCAATGATAAAGGCAGTGCTGTGAGGCAAAACACAACTCTAAAGAGCCAGACCCTCCTTCTTAGCCTTTTAAAAACTAAGCTTTATTAAATTGTCAGCAAACAAATATACAGCTCCGATTTGTGACAGTTGTTTCCATTTTCCTCATTTTGTAACCTACAGTCTCACCCCCACAAAGTACTCATGTGCCTTACCCACATAACCATGACCTAACACTGCTTGTATTTCCTTTTTTTTTTAAAATGTTTGGCCTCAATTTGCTTTCTAACCTAGTTAAAGAAAAAAAATCCCCATATTGCTCTGCTGCCTTTGACAACAGCACAAGACAGGTTAACATTTAAAGTGTCAGGCACAATGGAACTGCTGAGGGAAAATCCCATGATGAAAAATGGAACACACCCAAAGGTGAATTCCCTGAGTTTTCCCAGCTGGCTTTATAAGCAGGTCTTCTGAAGCCAAAGCCAGCAGATCAGAGCAGCCAGTTTTCTGAAACATTTGAAGTGCAGACCTTCTTACTGAACTGAAAATGACCAACTTCATCAGCAGAAACTTGATCTTTGCTTCTTTGATGGGACTGCTGCTCCTCTGCCTGTCTGGCATTTCTGAAGGTGAGTGAGCTTTGATTTTTTTTTCATTCGTCTGATTTGATTTCATGGCTCAGAATACTGCTCTGGACCATGTCAGGCAAACTGAGGTGTGGTTGCAGGGAGGTGGTGGAAGTCTCCCAGAGAATTAAACTATGTGATGGGCAGGATTTACAATTACAGAGGAATTCAAAGTTCAGGGATTTGTCCATATTGTATTGTAGGCAGGATGAAATTATAGTTCTAATTTTATTTTTCTCATTTCTAAATATTTCTTTTTCTCCTCCTCTATTCCAGCACAAAACAACCACGACTGCTGCCTCTCTTACTCCACAGTCCGGCTACCTCGATGGGCCATAAACGGTTACACAGAACAGTTATCAACTGAAGTGTGTGACATCGATGCTATCATGTAAGCTACCAGTCAAAAGAAATTCAGTCACATGGTCTGTACTTTTACTGTTAAGCAAGAATTAGCCTTTGGACTTTTGCGTGATGAAAGCAAAAATGTTTTGATTGCCAGAAATTAACTGTCCTTATCTTTTTCAAAAGGAAAATTATCCTGTGACGTTTATATAAAAATGCTCTTAGTACTTTATAAAACCAAACTATAAAGTAGGGACCATTAACTCACATTCTTACAAGATGTCTGTACAAAATAAATATAAACCTGTCAGTTTAGGAACCTAAGAGAAATGCCACATGGGATCAGACAAAGGCTGTCTACCCAGGAAGTTATTTCAAAATAATGTACTTTGAAATAAATCCTGAAATAATTACTTTGAAATAAGCTGTTCCTCTTCACAAGCAGGAGTTACTATTTTGAAACAACAAGCCCTTTATTTCAAAACAATGGGCTTGATAGTGCGGACACTTGCTTTACTTTGAAATAGGGCAGATATTTCAAAAAACTCCCCAGGGTAGACATGCCCTAAGGGGCCGTATAATCTAGACTGATTGAGCCTCCAATAGAGCTTCAAAAAAAGTGTAACACCTTTGCCCTTCATCCCATCCCATAATGGACACTTAAGCAATACTGTTCTTGTGGGGGAAGTTTCTTCCAAACGCAAAGTAGTTAATAATTCTTTTTTTTTATAACCTGAAATAAGAATAGATCCCTCATATTTTATACCACCTAGTTTAATTGCAGCTGCTTCCATAATTTCCATAAATATCTAATTTTTTTTATATTTGGTTAAGTTCTTTGCCTTAAGATCTGGTACCTGTGAGTTCAACATGATCATGCACTATGTTTAAAAATAGAGAAATCCGTTTTCTTCAGTTTTAATTGTTGCCTTTTACTTTGATTGGGTTTCTCCTTATGCCGATAGTTTGTGGGAAGTTGAATTGGAGCACCTAAATGGCCTCCTCTAGGAAACCTGTTGCTGCGTTGTATAGAGCAACTACAGAATGTGATTCTGTTATGTTGACTGTAGTGTGAAGCGATTTAATAGAAGGAAGTTACTATAATTGTTTACCATATATTTCCTTCCAGTTTTCACACAAAGAATGGACGGAGTGCTTGTGCAAATCCAGAGGAGCGCTGGGTGAAGAAGCATCTTCTTTGGCTGAGGTAAGAATAGTTTAAAACCGATTAGCCTGGTCAAAACAGAAAGTATCTGAGTTTTCACTTATAGTAACAGAGCTATAGACTTGCTGGCATTGAGCAAGTATGCACAAGTAGAATACACTTCTGAAAATGTGAATCTTTCTTCCCTTCTTTCTTCTGCTGGACCTGGGTGAAAAATTGTTAAGGCCTCATAATGCTAGGCATAGGGATAGAAGCTTCCTATACCGGTTTTTCCCACCTGAGATATTATGTCATTGATAGCAAGAACTGTATTGGGGGAGAGGAATCCAAAATTCATTCTACGGCTGAAGTGATCCCTCAATTCTTATTCATGTGTTCTCATTGTTTTTTACAGCCAGAAACTCAGGAAGATGTCACTGTAATGTGGGGTGTGAAATGAAACTAGACACAAAGGCGACTACAGAACCTAAACTAGGTTGGAATCGTCTCTTTGTACACGGTGTGTGCTTACTGACCATTGTTCCTGGATTCTTTGGAACCATTGAACAACTGAAGTTGATTCATATTGCATCTTTCAGTTGCTTGACTTAAGCATTTTTGTTAAAGTTGCTTTTTTCTTCTGTCAATATACAATATTTGATTACTGTGTAAAGAAGAAAACAGTCTTATGTTGTTACTAGGGGGCTGCGACCTCTGCTTGCTATGCTCTTCTATTCTCCTCCCTAGCTGCTTTCGTAGCCAGAGAGCGTGAGAGCATGACAACGTGATGATGTCATTCTGTCATCCAGCAGGAAAAACTTTTTTATATAGAAAGATACAAAATACGTGCCGTATGTGATTTAGAGCATTTGGATGTCACTTGTGCTATTTAGCATAAGTAAAATAGATAATTTATTCTATTTATTTGTTAAATCTTAGGCATTTTTTTTTGTGCCAACGCTCTGTTCCCTTTAGTTTTAAGTAATGTGATAAACAACAAATGGATTAAATATGTTGGACTGTTGTAAAAACATGTGCTTGAGAGAATATGTAGATTATGGAAATTTTAAAAATTACAATAAAAAACTAAAATGAGACTTGCATGAACTTGTTTTATTGGCAATGTATTATACACCCTGGAACTCAAGACCTTGTGTTCCAGAATAGCCAGACCAGACCATTCTTTATCTATCCTACATCAAGAAATGACAATGGAAGCCTCTTTTGTTTCATTCTTCATTTGCATTAGGGAGGTTGTAGACATAATGGTGTATATGAATTCCCCTTACCTCCTGCAAAGAAAAAAAAAGCAGCTATCTACTGTATATTCATTTGTGACAAGTTGTTCTTCATCCGATCTTGCCTGAATAAAATTAGAGTTCTTCTACCGGTTCCTAAATATGTTTAGGTTGGGGGGAAAAGCCACTACATGGATGGTGACTACATCTGTCTTTGCTTCTTGATAATGTAATGGAAATGCCATGCCTCTTAAGCAGGCTCTAAAATCCACACCAACCAAATATCTAAAAGCTTATGTAACTAGTTAATTTTTAGTCCAAGCAGCAGCTTTTCAGAGCTGACTCTCTAGGAAGTACCAGGCTTTGATCCACCAAAGACGTAAGCTCATGTGTTACTTCATACACATAAGCAATCCCACTAACCTCTGCCTACGACCTTCCCCTGCTCCCTCCTGGCTGACTTTCCTGATATTGTGTGTGTATTTTAAAAGCAATTCATGCATCTTCACAGCTCTGTCTCATGGCTTATTCATTGGATAGGGGTGGATGGCAGGAGATTGACAAGGACCACACTTTGCGGAGTGTTCCTCTTGTTTAGCTCACTTTCACAGGGTTGCCATGCTGCTTACAGGAAGACACCCATGTACCATTCTGGGGCTTCAGCAAGGGCTGCAGTTATTAAATGAGTATCCAGCCTGTTGTATACTGACACGAGCCACATTCAGTAATTTATTTTGAGATAACATTATAAGCACCTTCCTTGAACTCTGAGCACATTCATAATGCTTAAACTAATGCTGCCATTAATTAGAGCCATAAGCTTGAATAAGAATGGTTATGTAAACAATGCCTGTATGTCTATAACAGGCCTTGATGGCAGCCTCTGTTAAGCTATCAGTGGTGGGATACTTGTTCCCAAGGTTGGAAACTGTTTTAAAGAGAAAGTCCGGTTGATATCTGTAGCAAATTCCCACTGAACTCAGTAGAATCACAAGATACTGGGGCCAGATGCAGGAACTGGTGGGTGAAGCTATAGCCTGCTCTAATACAGAGAATTCCTCTAATTCAATCTTTTTAGAAACTAGAAAAGATTATCACAATGTTCTCTTCTAGCTATAAAATGAATCCGACCATGATCTGGGCCTAACTTACAACTACTAAGAAACCCATCTTCACTGTTGATTTTGAATTTTTGGTTTACTTAGAGATCTTATTATTTTTTTCCTTCTATATAATTTTTGCTTCATTATATTTCTACTTCGTTTTTAATTAACTCTTATCTGAACTTGCTGTCTAAACTTTCCCTTTCTGTTTCCTTTGCTTAATTTACCCACTGTTTCATTTCCCCATCTCTGTCCTCTGCTTCTCCAACTGCTAATCTTTCATCTCAATCAGGTCCCCCTCAAATAGCAATCCTTCTCCCTGAATTTCAGGCTTCTGACCTAAATGTCGCCTTAGAGATTCCTTTATTTAAACAACCAGAAGCAGCTAGTGGCAGTTTGACACTTCTCCAAGTGTCATTGGCCATTACCCTTTTATTAAAGCTCCTTAGCTAGATTGCAGTTCCCATTACAGTGGCTTTATCCAAGCCTATTTGACACTTTCAGATTGTTTCATAGGATTTTACTAAAATCCAAATACGTCACCACAAGTCTTCGTGGCTGTTTTCTTTACATCTGTTTTTAAATGGCTCCCAAGTGTGCTGGAAAGGTACACTAGCCAACTGGATACATTTTAATCCCAAAATTCATTTTGTGATTCTAAAGGAGCTTGTATCCAAGAAAGGGAACTACGATTCCTGGTTGTCCCCTTAGCCCTTCTCTCAGTTATTGATACATTTGGGTATTACTTTTACTGAACATTCTCATACTAATATTATCTATTTTAGTCTGTAGAGGTTCTTATAGTGCCTGCATCACTAGAGTAGTGCGTTCAGTGTTGTAACTGACATTGGCATAAGTAGATTTGTTTTCTCTCTCATCGCTGCATACCCACCCCAATGGAGAGCTGAGAGAAACTTCTTTTAAATATAATTATGGAGGCCATCCCAATGTAGGACTTAAACCAGGGCTACCAGAACTGTGTTTAAGAATAATGAAGAGCGAGATATTGCACTTTTTTTTTCCAGGATAGGGACAGTATCTTCATGTGTGTATAGCACCTAGTACAATGGGACCTCACTCTGGACCAGTGTCTCTAGGTGCTCCTGTAGCTGTACAAATCATAAATAGAAGCTGTAGGTGCTGAACTTTTCAAAGAAAACATTTGGTAGCCCACATATGGTGCCAGGTCCATACCTTTAGGCACCTCATCTGCAGCCTAGTACTGCTTGATGGTGGTGAGGAAAGAGGAATGGCTGCCCGTTGTGTTGGTTGTCATCCTGGCCCCACCTCTGGAATAAAGCCCAGTTTGTCAGCGTTGCTTTAATTAAGTAGCAGGGGATTGGCAGCTCCATACAGCAGCAATACTCAATGAGTTTTTAAATGGGTTTTAGGGCTGTTTTATTCCATTGGAACTAAAAGCTCCCAATGGGTTTGGAGTGATTTTAATTGGACAGAATAACCAGGACTCCATTTTGGAAGAAGCCAACTCCATCTTGAATCACTGCCTCCATTGTGAACTTTAAGAGGACAGTTTGGGGTAAACAAGTACTGGTTTGGACTGGCATTTCCTGCCAAAAGGACAGGTTGGCTGCATTTACCTCAGAAGTTGGGTACAGCTAGTGCTGTCAATCATTCTGCTTTCCATCCAGAAGATGCAGATAAGCACTGCCCCCTCCAGAGACAGTGTGGCTCACTCTCCTCAACCATCAGCAGAAAAGGTGCTCGGACTCGTGTGGTGCGTCTCCTTATCCACCCATAGCGAAGGCTTGGGAAGGATGTTTGGGGGTACACCAAATAGGGTCTGTTGTAACCCTAAGAGCCACTGAGAAAAACATTTCTTCACCCCTTATCCATGGTGAAGACCTGGAAGTGTGGTGAGCTGGAGAAAGCACCCTAAGGAAACAATGAAGTTTCTGCACTACCAGTAGCGAAGGCTCAGGACTGATAGCAGAGACTATATCACTGATCCTCCTTTAACATCTGTGACATCAAAGCCATCTATGAGGGATTGCCCCTAGCACTCCTCCCTGAGAGCTCTAAATCAGCTCAAGGGTAGAAGGTCCTAAGCCTCTCCTCCTCTCAGATACCATAGCCATTATGGACTGTAAGGTTTACTTACCTTCGTTATTGGGATCTTTCCTGTCTTCTTTCTTTCAGCGGGTGTGGGTTGGTTTTACAATACAGGCAGTCCCCAGGTTACGTACAAGATAGGGACTGTAGGTTTGTTCTTAAGTTGAATCTGTATGTAAGTCGGAACTGGCGTCCAGATTCAGCCGCTGCTGAAACTGATCAGTTTCAACAACTGTAAGGTTTACTTACCTTCGTTATTGGGATCTTTCCTGTCTTCTTTCTTTCAGCGGGTGTGGGTTGGTTTTACAATACAGGCAGTCCCCAGGTTACGTACAAGATAGGGACTGTAGGTTTGTTCTTAAGTTGAATCTGTATGTAAGTCGGAACTGGCGTCCAGATTCAGCCGCTGCTGAAACTGATCAGTTTCAACAGCGGCTGA